AGAAGGATGTGGTTGGCAAGTATCACAGCTGGAGTCCCATCCCTTGCCTCCCCAGTCCTGGAAGGGTGAAGCCTCCAGGAAGATGAGAGTGACCATGGAATTCATGTCCACCTCCCACTTCACACTGAGCGTCTCAGAGCTTGGGACTCCTAAGCACACCCCAGTGAGCCCTGTGTATTTCCCATGCTGGGGTGTTCACACTCAGCTGTGGCTGAGCAACTATGAAGACAGCACTGAGTCACTAGGGACACAGTTAAGCAAGCCCACAGCATCCTTTAGGCCTGGACACCAGGAATGGTCCCCAGCTCAGATGCTCTCGGGAGTCACTTTCTCTTACCCTTCATCCTCCGCAGTTTGGCTCTAAGGTGCAATTCCAGGGCCCCACAGCAAGATGGTGCAGGGCAGAGCTCAGCCAGTGTCTGTCTCTGCCAATGGACACTGGCTGCATTGATGCCCGCTGAGGCTCAAAAAGCAGTTGGTGGTCCAAGACACAGGTCTTCTTCATTCATTCATTTATTCAGAAAATATCAGAGGACCCCACCCCGTGTGTGAGGCATTATACTGGCACATGGGGTCCTCAGTGGGAGAGAAATGAACCCCCCTTGTTGTGAATGTTTTTGCTCTTTTTACTCTTTTGGGAGACCCACCATCCAGCTCCCAAATAAATCACACACAGAGGCTTATTCTTAAGTTATAAATGTCCAGCCTTAGCTTGACTTGCTGCTAGCCAGCTCTTCTTATCTTAAATTATCCTGTCTATCTTTTGTCGCTAGGCTTTTATCTTTCTTATTTCTGTATGTCTTACTTTCCTTCTTCCTCCGTGGCTGGCTGGGTAGCTGGTCCCCGACGTCCTCCTCTCCTTGTTCTCTCCTGCTCCTCATTTCTCTTGCTGCTCCGTCTGCTTTTTCGTCCTCGTTTCTATTTCTTCTCTCTGCCTGCCAGCCCCGCCTATCCTTTCTGCTACCTCGCTATTGGCTGTTCAGCAACTTATTAGGACCATCAGGTGTTTTAGACAGGCAGAGAATCACAGCTTCTCAGAGGTAAACAAATGTAGCATAAACAAAAGCAACATCCCTAAAATAATATTCCCCAACACCCCATGACCTCCAGGTCATGCACCTTAGACATCAGGAAACAAAGCAACACCTGAATCTGGCCCAGGACCCTCCATGAGAACAGAAGGGCAGAGTTACCCAGAGGCCTGGGAGTAGGGAGCCAGTTGTGAGCCAGAGAGCATTGTGCAAAGACCCCAGGCACAGGAGCCTGGCAGGAGGAGAGGAAGTGGGAGGTACTTCAGGGAGGTGAAGCCCTGTAAGACAAGGTCATGCCCATGTGCCCAGACATAGTATGTGTCTTCTTTAGTGGTGTAGGAGGTTCTTCTGTCTATGTGTTGCTTTCATTGGCTGAATAAAAAAACTGCCTTGGCCTTTTGATAGGGCAGAACTCAGATAGGCAAGTAAACAGAACAGGATGCTGGGAAGAAGGGCAGTGTGTCAGACACCATGGTTCTCCTGCCTGAGACAGACACTGGTTAGACTCATGCCGGTAAGCCACAGTCAAGTGGCGATACACATTAATGGAGATGGGTTAAACTAATATGTGAGAGTTAGCCAATAAGAGGCTGGAGATAATGGGTCAGGCAGTGTTTTAATTAATACAGTTTCTGTGTGATTATTCTGGGTGTATTTTGGGTGTAAGCTAGCAGCGCGGCCGGGACAAACAAGGGGCCCTGCTCCCTACAACACGTTAGGGTTTCTATTGCTGCATCAAAACACCAACACACCAAAAAAAAGCAAGCTGGGGAAGAAAAGGTTTACTTGGCTCACACTTCCACATCACTGTTCATCACAGGACAGCGAACTCTAACAGGGCAGGATCTGGGAGGCAGGAGCTGATGCAGAGGCCATGGAGGGGAGCTGCTCTTTACTGGCTTACTCCACCTGGCTCACTCAGCTTCAGCTCCCCCACTTCTCCCTGCCTCAGTCATGGGAGCCCAGAGCCAGGCCCTAGTCCCACCTGCTCCCCAAAGCCCAGGATATCTTTCAGCGTCCTCCGATCCTCAGGGCTGAAGACCAATGTGAACATGAGGGATACATGCCCTCCCCTAAGAACTCCCATACCCAACTCCATACTGACACAGGAATATTACTGTTCTGGGTTAAGCCTGGAAACAGAAATGGCACATATATTAAGCACTAACTGTATACATAAGCAACAAAGAGCATCCGACTGTGATACCTTGATGCCCTCAGGGCTCTTGACTCCAAAAGAGTGTACATAGGACCCCTCTCATCCTTGTGAGCTATCCTGGTGGCCTGTAGTAAGTGGAGTCTGCAGTTGATTTGATTCCAAGCCGGGGGTGGCAGGTGAAGACAGCCCCATCTGTCCCCACAGGCCACCACAATGTTCCGGAGGCCCTTCACGCTCTGCTTCTTGACTGAAGGGGCTTAACAGTCAACTCCTGTGCCTCAAGGGTGACTTCCTGGCCCCCTCTGCCATTGTGCCCTGTGGAGCAGCAGGCATTGGGCCCCTGGGAAATAGCAGGGATGCCACACGGGCCTGGGTCAGATTCTGTCCCATCCTATAGGTTACCAAGCACTGCTGGCAGTCCCAAGACATCTGAGGTCTATGGAGAGCAGCCAGATAACAGGTGGGGGACCAGTGTCCTGGCTCCTCTTCCACATACATAACCTGCTAGGTAACCATCCCATGGGACACAGCCCAAGAGCTGAGAGAGCCGTTCACCTCTGGGTTCCAGTCTCCAACATGAGGCTGACCTGCTGTGTGACTTCCAGGAACTGCAGAGCCTCTCTGAACCTCAGTGATCACCCCATCTATAAAGTTGAGTTGCTCCTGGCACCCCCCAGTCAACCCTACTGTGTGACAGTCTGCCTCCCTTGGAGATCAAGAGGTTGAACTGCAGTGGGTCCCTGGATGGTTTAAGAGGGGGTGGGGTGGGAGAGGTGGGGAGTGGCTAACTCAAGGGCCAGGTAGGTCTGCCCAGGCCCCTCCAAGCCTTGTGCCCTCAATGCGCAAAAGTTCCTGGAGCTCCAAGCTGACCGTGGAGCCCAAGGCTCAATGAACAAGGACACGCTGCTTAGGCTTTTTGTTACTGCGATGAAACACCATGACCAAAGCACTCCAGAGAGGACAGGGTTTATTTGACTTACACTTCCATATTGTAGCCCATCACTGAAGGAACTCAGGACAAGAAGCTGGAGACAGGGGCTGATACAGAGGCCATGGAAGAGTGCTGCTTACTGGCTTGCTCCCTATGTCTTGCTCAGCCTGACAGGACCACCTGCCCAGGGATGGTACCACCCACAATGGGTTGCCTTCCCCCAATCAATCACTAAGAAAATACCCTACAGGCTTGCTTACAGTCCAGTCTTATGGGAGCGTTTTCTTTCTTTCTTTCTTTCTTTCTTTCTTTCCTTCCTTCCTTCCTTTCTTTCTTTCTTTATGGGTGGTGGGGGGGAGTTTCAGGACATGGTTTCTGTGTAGCCCTGGCTGTTCTGGAACTTGCTCAGTAGAACAGACTGGCCTCAAATTCAGAGATCTGCCTGCCTCTGCCTCTTGAGTGCTGGGATTAAAGGTGTACATCACCATGCATGGCATGGAGGCATTTCCTTAATTGAGGTTTCTTCCCCTCATAACTTAAGCTTGGGTCAAGCTCGGGCCATAAAACTATCTAGCACAACTGGCCAACTTGAGCCACAAACACACTGCTGTAAAGCCACAGCCTTTTCTCTCTTACTCACCCCCAAGATCACACATTAAGTAGCCATCACAATAAAGACCGTTTTATAGACAAAAAAAGGTCCTTCCACCTTACAAATTCAAACGCTTTAAAAATTCAGTCTCTTTAAAAAAAAAAAAACAAAAACCCAGGGTTTTTTCTTAAAGTCCAAAGTCTCTTTTAAAATAGAATGCCTTTCAACTGTGGGATCCTACAAAATAAAATTAGCTATTTCTTATTTCAAAAGGGAAGAACCAGGCAACAGCCACAATCAGATCAAAGTAAAACCAAACACCAACAGTATAAAAACTCAATGCCCAATATCTGGGATCCACTCAGGATCTTCTGGGCTTGGGTCACTTCTCCAGCTCCACCCTGACCAGCACGCACAGTTTGACTGCTAGGCTCAGGCCGGTTCCACTCCATCCTCTGCTGCTGCTCTTGGTGGCCATCCCCTGGTACTGGCATCCAAATGCTGGGTCACCTGCTGCAACCAGCCTGCACTTTCACCAACAGCCAAGTCTCAACCTTCTCCATCACCCTTCAATCCTGGGCTCTCCACTGCCACTCCGGTGGCTCCTTCACCAATGGCCTCTTCTGACCTCTCCTGGTGCCAGACCTCAGCTGCTCTCCATGACCCCTTTCATGTCTTCAAAACCAGCATCACCTGGGTGACTCTTACACACGTCCAAGTTTAGCCGCCAGCACGAGGTACAACCTTGGCGGCCTCCGGAACTCAGCTTCTGTGTGCTCTCAGGAAACACTTCCCAGATTTCACCTCAGTGCTGCTGGACTCTTCTTAATCCCAGCTGATTCTTCAGCCCCAGCCAACCAGCATCCATTATACCCATAAAGCAAAGGTTTTACTTCAGTGGTTCCGCTCTCTTGTTAATCACTCTGATTCTTCAGCCCCTGCTAACCAGAACCTTAACTCAGAATGACAAACGACTGGTAGAGTCCTTAGGGACTCGCAGACTTCCCTCTGAAACTTCACAAGCCAGGCCTTCACCATCGGCAAGGCTGTCAACGCTCTTATCTTCCAAGCTCCCACAGAACAGCTCACTGAGATCTCAACACTCGATCACTTTTCTAGCTCAGTATTCCAAGTCCTTCCACAGTTCTCCCCAGAGCACATAGTCGGCTCTGCCACAGCAATACCCGACTCCCAGGACCAATTTCTGCCCTAGGTAGGGTTATCATCACTGTGAGGAAACACCATGACCAGAGCAACTTGGGGAGGAAAGGGTTTATTTGACTTATGCTTCCACATCCAGAGTCCATCACTGAAGGAAGTCAGGACGGGAACAGAAACAGGGCAGGAACCTGGAGGCGGGAGCTGATGCAGAGGCCACGGAGGAGGATGCTCCAGCCTGCTCTCCACGGATTTCTCAGACTGCTTTCCTACAGAACCCAGGATCCCCTGCCCACGAATGGCACCGCCCACAATAGGCTGGGCCAAACCACATCAATCACTAATTAATACAACGCTCCACAGGCTTGCCTGCAGCCCCATCTTATGGAAGCATTTTCCCAAGTGAGGTTCCCTCCTCTCAGATGACTTTAGCTTGTGCCAAGTTGGCATAAAACTAGGCAGCACACTGCCACACTTAGCCACATTGCTACCGAACCAGCCATACCCATCCGTGACCTGACTCCCCCAGGCCTCTCTTACCCCGCTGGTCTCTCTCAAGCCTGTAGAGTACACCCCAGCTCTGAGAAGACACACCCTCGCAGCTACTCAGGGACCTATCATCAACCTTAGGCATCTTCTGCCCCAGGGCCACCTGTGTCCAGGGCACAGATCCCAGGCCATGGGGGCATAATTATTATAGTGTTCCACTCTGTCCTCCTGTCCATCTGCACAGACAGAGAGTAACGAACATGTCCAGAGGGGGTGACGGTTACCTTCACCTGTCAACTGGGCATAGTCTAGAGTCTCAGTGAAGGCCCACCTAGATCAGGTTGGTCTGGAGGGACATCTGTGGGGGATTGTCTTGATTGCCTCAATTGAAGTAGAAAAGCCCAGCCTGAAAGAGGGCAGCAGCACTCTCTGGGGTTGGGACCTGAATTATCTAAAAGTAGAAAAGCCAAATGAGCTGGGTGGTGGTGGCGCACGCCTTTAATCCCAGCACTCAGGAGGCAGAGGCAGGCGGATCTCTGTGAGTTTGAGGCCAGCCTGGTCTACAGAGTGAGTTCCAGGACAACCAGGGAGGTTGCATGGAGAATCCCTGTCTCAGAAAAAGAAAGCTGAGCACTAAGTGTGCACATACTCATTTCTCTCTGTTCGTGACTGTGGCTGTCATGTGATCAGCTGGTCCAAGGCCTGCCCTCCATGACTTCACTGCAGTGAGGTAACCTGGGATTGAGAGCTCAAACAAGCTCTTCTCCCTTCAGTTGCCTTGTTCAGATACATCGCCACAGCAACAGAGAAGAAATGGAACAGAGGATGAGTGTCCACCCAAGCACCTGGCACTGACCTGGCACAGGGACACACATGGCAGATGTGGGAGGGTCGCTGTCTTTATTGAGGATACAGGGACTCAGAGTGGGAGGCATGGGCCCCGGCACCCCCAAGCATCCTTCTGGGGTCCCAGCACTAGTCTCTTCCTGAGAAGGGCCAGGGCCCTGGTGCCAGCTACGGGCAGCTCAGGTCTGCCCGCCTTTGTTCTTTGAGGACCAGATCTTGGACAAGCGGAACTTGGACTTCTTCCTCTGAAGGCCTGAGGGGAGGACAGAACCATGAAGCTCCCACTGAGGTTCCTGTGTTTCCTTCCCTGACCACTCCACGGAGCTGCCACTCCCACAGGAAGCTCTACCCCACCCAGTCCGGAAAGGCCATCCTCCCTGCCCCCTGCTGGGCACCCATCATTACCCAGGTTCTGGATCATGTTCTCCAGCATTTGGTCCTCTTCTTGTTCCCTGGAATGGGGACAGGGTGACTGTGAGGGACATGGGCCCTGGGGAGCTACAGAGAACATGTGTGCACATACTCTTTCTCTGTCTCTCTCTCCCACTCTCTGTCTGTCTCTTTCTTTGTCTGCCTTGGTCTCTCTATCTCTCTCTCTCCCTCTGTCTCTCTCTCTGTCTCTGTCTCTCTCTCCACACTAATACCAGAGTCAGCCCCACTCATCCTGGCTATCTCCACCCCCAACATGGCATGAGACACTCCACTCCTCTCTCCATCCCCAGCCCTCCCCAGTGTCTGCCCTCCCCAGACCAGCCACTCAGCAGTAACCTGGGGATAGCAGACAGCCTGTTCTGACACTAGCTAAGCCCATGTTGGGGTCACACAGAATCCAGCTTAAGTTCAGCTTTGGGATGACCCTGTGTACCCTGGGCATTGGGCCTCACTGGATACTAGAGAGCCGAGCACAAGCATGCTGACATTCATGTCCCTCTGCTTGTGACTAGATCTGACGTCACTGGCTGTCTCCAGTTCCTGTCACATCCAGGATCATGGAGAAGCTTTGCAGCCGCCAGGAAACACACAGCTACACATATCTGGTTAAAATAAAGTGCTAAGCCAGGCTTGGTGGTGTAGGCCTTTCATCCCAGCTACTTTTTGGATAACATCCCAGCTAAGTCTGAGGCAGGAGGATGGAATTCAAAGTCTACCTGGACCAAAGAGTAAGTTCAAGGCCAGCCTGGGCAACTTAGTAAGACCATGTCTCAAAATAAAGTAACATCAGTGCTGGGGCTATAGCACACTAGAGTCCCCAGAGAGGGACTGGGGTGTGGCTCAGTGGTAGAGCTGTTGCCTAGAATCCCCCAGTGAGGGGCTGGGGTGTGGCTCAGTGGTAGAGCACCTGCCTAGTATTCATGAGGCTAAGTTTAAGATAAAAGTAGCTTTAGGGGCTGGAGAGACGGCTCAGCAGTTAAGAGTGCTTACTACTCTTTCAGAGAACCCAGGTTCAGCCCCAGAACTCAAATAGCAGCCCACACCACCTGTAACTGTAGTTCCAGGGGATCTGATGCCCTCTTCTGACCTTGTACACATGCGGTGCACATAAATTCTTGTAGGAACACGGGCACATGTATAAAAGTAGTAAATAAATCATTTTTCAAAAGTCATTTTAGGCTCAACGGTTCAGCTTCACAAGCCAATGGTCATGGTCTGTTAACCACTCATGGCTGCCACACTGGACATCATGAATGACAGTCTATTTCCTTCGTTAGCTGTCCTGGCCAGTGCTAGTCCTGGAAGACTAGGGACCTGAGTGCGAAAGAGCCCCATGCGAGGACTAGCCTCCCCCAACCTGAGTCCTTGTGCCATGCAACCTGGGTCCCACTGAGTATGAGTAGCCTACCAGCCGGGAGCAGCCCTGACCCCAGTCTGCCCTCCCTGGGTCCCCTGTCCCTCACCGGAGCCGGTCCTCATCCAGGAAGTCAACGATGTCACTGCGGTCATTCACGGTGTTCACATATTGACTCAGCAGCTCCTGTTCCCGCTGGCGGTCCTGGAGGGACTTCAGACCCTCTGTGGGGACAGCCTGCTGTCAGTAGGGGCCCCACTGTGCTCAGGGACAGGATCAGGGACAGGATAGGCACACTGCCTATGTGTTGTGGCTGGATGGAAGAACTTGATCCAGAGCCTGAGTGTGGGGCCTCTGGTTTCTATGACTTCGTTATGCAAGGCTGAGGCAGGGGTCCTCCAGCCAGGATGTGGTGTGAAGGCTGTCCCCACTGCTCAAAGTGCCCCTCCCGTGTCATCTCCTTGAACTTCACACTAGCTGTCGGGAGCAGGGCAGGGAGCACACTGTGGGGTCCTGACTTTGTCACAGGAACAGAACAGCTAGGGCATTAGTCCAAGGTCACACAGTCAGAAGCAGCATAGGAACAGAAGCCAGAAGCCTCGTGGCTTAGCCACAACCATATCACCTTTAGACTCTCATGGGTCAAGGCAGGGCAAATGGGGAAGTTGGCACACTGGCAGGTCTATGGCTCTCAGGCCAGGCTTCCCGGACACAGACACGTACCTGGCTTGTCCATCAGCTTCCGCAGCTCATCCTGAAGGTCCAGTTGCCGCTCCTCCAGGTGTTGGTCCTTAGACCTGCAGGACACACATGTCTGAGGCCCAGCCCGACCAGGCTGCTCCCACCACATCTGTGGGCTGGTCCCGGCAGGACGCTGCAAGGCTCAGGGGTCTCACTTGTACATGAGTTCTGATTCGAGCCTCAGCAGCAGCTGCTTCTCATGAATAAGTCGGAACCAGTCCACCATGAGGCTGTCCTCCGCAGCATCTGTGAAGAAACACAGTTGGGGCAGAGAGGCCACAGTGTGCCTGACACCCCCGCCCCTCTGGTGCAGAAGCGCAGACCTGGGACAGGGGAAGCTAGCCAGAGGTACTCAGGAGGGCCAGTCCGCAACTAGCATGGGTGGAGCCAGCCTGTACCAGTAAGAGGCATGGTCAATATGCAACCAGTAAGGGGTGGCCAACCAGTGTGGCCATGGCCATCCAGTGTAGGTATAACCAGCCTATAGGAACATGGCCTGCCAGTTGGGGTATGGCCAGCTCATGGACATGGCCAGCTATAGCATGTGGTCAGCCCTCGGAGATGTGGTCAGCCACTGGGAGTGTGGAAAGCCAGTAGAGCTGTGGACAATCGTTTAGGGGCATGGAAAGCGTATAGAGTGTGGCCACCAATGGGTGCGTGGTCAGTTTTGCAGCATTGTTCACTGGTAGAGGCGTATCCCAAGCTGCTCACCTCCCTCGGCTGCCCGCAGCCGCTTCTCCAGCTCTACACCCCTGAGCTCCAGGGCGTCAAGCTGATTCTCAATCTCCTGCAGCTGCCTGTGCAGCTCCTCCTGGGGGATATAGTCGGGGTGCAGCTGGAGGGAAAACGGAGCATGAGCGCAAGCACAGGACCAAAGCTGAGTCACCCCCTAGTGCCCTGCGTACTTACCCTGACTGGGGAGGTCACAGTCTCACCATGTGTACTGTCCAGGACTGCAGACCGTTCTAGAAAACAGACAGATGACTGAGGCCCTCAGGCTCAGGGCACCAAGCCCAACAGAACCTGGACTGGCATGGGCATGACCAGACCCATCTATTCTAGGCCATGAGGCCCAGCAGGCATTGCCCCCTTTACTATCTTCCAAACCAGATGGCATCACTGGGACTGACCTCTTGTCCCCCAGGTGGGTGTTTTCTCCTCCTTCCTGTTCCTGGCCTGAGCTTCCTGTTTCTTGAGCTCTGGCTGGAGCCAATCAGCAGAAACATCAAGGCTGGGAGGGACAGCTAGTTTCTTACGGTGTGACAGAGAAGGAGAAGGGGCTGCTGGAACAAAGGTGGGGGGCAAAGATGTGTGAGACCCACTGGCCAGAGACCTGACACTGAGGGGAACCAGGGCTCTAAGCTCCTACTCTGTCCCAGAGCAGCCAGGGTTGCAGTCCATGCACCTCCCAAGGTAGGGCCCCTGTCCTGCCCAAACCGACCACATCCACTCAGGGAAGCAGCATCCGAGAGACCCACAAGGCTATTGACATCACAGAATGTGACCTGGGAAGTGGCCCACAAAGGGCTCAACTGTGCTGAGAGCAAACTTGGCCCAACACCATATAGATTCACAGGCACACCTAAACATGCATGTGCCTAACAAAACATACATACATATTCAGACTATGCCTGAACATGCCTCACACACATACATCCCATGCATGTACACACACACATACACATGTATAGGCTATGCCTTACACACGTACAGTTCCATGCCTGAACACACATGAGCACACAGACTATACCTAAACATGCCTAGTACACATACGAACCATGCATGAACATGTATTCACACTTACCCCATGTGTGAACACACATAGTCACACATATCTCTTATATCTAAGCATGCATGTACATGTTGATACCCCATGTCCAAATATGTGTGCATACATAAAATCAGTTTCTGAACATGCATGTAAGCTCATCCCCCATATACATGTCTCATATAAGACCACATGCGTATACTTATTTGTGCCTGAATACCTAAGTGTACATTAAACCCATCTAGGAACACACATGCACATACATAAGTAGCCCCTCTGGCCGAGCAGGGCCTCTGCCTGACCACAGACAGAGCAAGAGCATGTACCCCCGACACACAAGGACACACCTGAGTTCCCACAGGCATTACCTGCAGGGCTGGGCCCGGAACCAGCCGGGCACGGTGTCCTCTTGTTCTGAACGGGAGTCAAGAAGATGTGAGCGCTGGGGCTAGAGCTGCTGGAGACTTTGCTGGGAGTATCCCCTGCCCTCGGCTCTGCCTGGACAGGTACTTCCTTTGGCTCCAAAGTCCTAGGTGGAAGATAAGGTGAGTCCCAGCCCAGACGGGGACACCCAGAAGTGTCTCAAGAGCCATATATATGCCTATGTCCAAGGTCCACATGGTCTGAAGGAAGCCACCTGGCCAGGCCTGTATCATCCTGGCCTCTAATTCCCGGACCTGCCCAGGACACAGGGCTGTGGGCCTCCACATGCTCCATGTGGGGCAGGAGGGGTGCCTCTGGCTTGCAGAGACCAAATGGACGGACACCCGCCCCAAGCCAGGCTCATGGGAGCTGCCTGGCATGGCACACCTGCTGCTCCGAGTTCACCACTTCCCTTAAGTCATCCCATTGGGATGAGGCGTCTCTGTCACTCTGTCCCCATCACCTGGCAGGTGAAGAGTTCTGGGACACTCAAGCTGGTGTGAACCAATTTTTTCTGTGGATACTGAAAAGTCCAGGTGTGTGTGTGTGCCTTCTGGTCACACCAGTTCCTGGATGTACACTGCCATGCTCGCGCACACACTTCATTAGGCACCTACTGTGTGCGGGCTCAGCTCATACTGCAGACCCACAGGCACGGGTGTGGCCCCGCTAGTGAGCAGCCACCTCCGCTCACCTCCCGGCAGAGCTTTTCTTATCCACAGGCTTCAGGCGTGCCCTCCATCCTTCTGGGCCCTCCTCCCGGCCTTCCTGAGAGGTGGAACCCGGACCTGAGTGTAGGAAACAGATCAAGCAGGTGAGACAGGCTGAGACAAGTTGGCCATTGTCATCTGTTCCTTTTGACAGCCCAGAGCCAGCCCAGCATGCAGGACAGAGGCAGGGTTTCCAGCCTGGCTGCTGTGCTGTGTACCCTGAGGGAATCACCGCCCCTTTCTAGGCCTCAATTTCCAATCTGTCAAATGGGTGTTGACAAGGAAGGGAAACCCTGTTTTCCTCCTCTATGGCGGTGACATGATGAGCAATGAATGGGCACTGCTCCTTCTTCAGAGTCTCTCTTGGCTCATGCCTAGCAGTGGATTCAATGGGGAGCTCAGTCAAAGGGAAAGCTACAGAAAAGACAACTCTGTGGTACATCCTGAACCCTACTTCCCCAAGCACCCACAGAAAGGGCAGGGCTATGTAGACCCAGAGGGTCTGGGAAGCATTCCTGGAGGACAGCAGGAACCCAGTCCCAGGCAGAGCCATTGTGAAGGTGGACAGGGCCTCCTTCTGCACCCTGGGGACACAGCCAAGGACAAAAGACAACACAGCCTGGGTATACGCATGAACCTAGGACGATGATCATGGTAAAACCCTGGGAACACTGGCCACAGCCACAGAGACGCAGCAGATGAAGATCCATAGAGGACTATGGGGTTCTGAGAGCTAAGCAACAAAACAGCAGACACCAAGAACAGCCTTCAAAGAGAAAGGCAGCCTGGGCATATAGCAATACTTGGGGAGTGGCCACCCCAGAGCCCTGCACCTCTCCACCCCTCCCCATCCCTTAGCAGGAACTCTTACCCTTCGGTATTGCCGCTTCTGCTTGTGGCCTGGAGCCGGGACTGGTCTTACCAACCCCTGGAGATATACCCAGGCTCTTGTTGCCAGTCTGGAGTGATACAGATGCCCATGAAGTATTGCCCACATTCAGGGGGACGGTAGGCTCCACCTTCAAAGTGGGGGGTTGGGGAGTGGTTGAATGTGATAGCTTGGGTGAGGAAACTTTTTGGGGTACTTCATTCTTGGGAAGAGAGACTGGGGTGGAGGAAGTGGCTGGGGAGGACCTGTGGAGATGAAAGAGGGTACCAAGTGTGGGCGAATCCACGAGTCACCCCACCACACACACACAAGAAGCTAGTTTTCTGAGTGACCCCAATGAACTGAGGACAATCTACCCCAGGCCAGATGGCCCGTGGCATCTACTTGTGGCATTTACATGCACTGGTAGCTCTTTTATGCTATTAAATCTGATGTCCACTGGAATTAAAATGTCCCCCAGATATACCATGCATGGGTGCAGAGCTGAAGGGCCAAGGAGGGCCCTGGCTGGAGCCACAGGCTGGCCTGCACTTGTTCAGATAAGTATTAAGTTACTCATAGGATGGACGGTCCAGCCAGGCACCAGCCTCCACCTGAGCTGTGTGGCTTTGGGTCACCTACGTTCCCTTAGGCAGCTCATATGCAGGTACACAGAGCCCAGGCAACACGTGGCACCACTCGGGCCAAGACAGAGGTGCTTATCACGGCCCAGAGGCAGCAGTGTATAACCCTCCTGACCCCAGCACCAGCCCAGGAGCCTCTAGGTACCAAGTGGGGGTAGGTTCCGGCAGTTATGAGCCAAGAATGTCCCACCCTAAAATCAAGGACCAACCCAGGATAGAACCTCTTGACTCACTAAACAGCTGTAATGGGTTGAATGGGTACCTTAAAACTCAGAAGTACTGGGGAACTTGATGTGTGATCTTAATTTTACAGTGGGGGGAAGGTGCTGAGTGGTGGTGGCACACACCTTTAATCCCAGCACTCAGGAGGAAGAGGCAGGCAAATCTGTGAGTTCGAATCCAACCTACTCTACAGAAGGAGTTTCAAGACAGCCAGGGCTACACAGAGAACCCTTGTCTTAAAAAAGGGGGCGGGGAGGCGCAGTAGATGCGACCACATTATAAGGCAGTCACACTAGAATACAGCGGCTCCCATTCAAAACCACTAACCTTCTAAGAGACAGACGGCGTAAGTGTGGGGATGCACACCTGTAATCTCAGCACTGGGGACGCTAAGGCAAGAGGACTTGGAGTTGAAGGTCAGCTGGGATACATGAGGCCTTGTCTCAGAAACACAAAGACTGGGCTGGTGAGATGGCTCAATGGATGAAAGTGCTTGCCATGGAAGCCTGGCAGCCCAAATTCAGCTCCCAGTACCCACGTGAAGGTGGAGGGGAAAACCGACTCCAGAAAATTGGTTTCTGACCCCCACACAGACATTGTGACATATGCACTCTTCCCCATCATACATACACACATCATACATAATACATACATAAAAAGGACCTGGGGTGTGTGACTCAGTGGTAGAGCACCTGCCTAGAATCCCCCAGTGAGGGGCTGGGGTGTGGTTCAGTGGGAGAGCCCCTGCCTAGAATCCCCCAGTGAGGGGCTGGGGTGTGGCTCAGTGGTAGAGCCCCTGCCTAGAATCCCCCAGTGAGGGGCTGGGGTGTGACTCAGTGGTAGAGCCCCTGCCTAGAATCCCTCAGTGAGGGGCTGGGGTGTGACTCAGTGGTAGAGCTCCTGCCTAGAATCCCCCAGTGAGGGGCTGGGGTGTGACTCAGTGGTAGAGCTCCTGCCTAGAATCCCCCAGTGAGGGGCTGGGGTGTGACTCAGTGGTAGAGCCCCTGCCTAGAATCCCCCAGTGAATGGCTGGGGCGTGGCTCTGTGGCAGAGCATCTTTCTCGCATGTGGGATACCCTTAATTCCATCTCCAGCACTCTTCACAAGAAAAAAAGGAAAGAGAGGATAGTGGAGTCCATAGATAATGAAATCAGACATGGAGGAAGGCTGCTACCAACCAAGGGTTGCCAGGAACCTGCAGATGTTGGGTTAAAAGGACTCTCTCCTTTGCAGCCCTGGTGGGGCATGTGGCCTACCACAGGATATGCTTCTGCCACTGAAGCTGTCCTGTGAGGGATGACTATTGCCCCTCCCCCTACCTGCATCATATGGTCAGTCTAATTGAAGACACTATAGGTGCCAGGCACAAAGGGATGCTCAGAACCCAGCTCCACACACACAAGTCATCCAACGCATGGAACCAGGCAGTGTGACTTCCATTTTAACACCCCTCTTCCTGTCCACAAGACAAGCATAAAAGTCTAGTGTGGGCCACCTGTAACCAGCAATGCCTGTAAGCCCACCATACCCTGCATTCCTGCTTCTCTCCTGTCCCCCACCTCCACTTCCCAGATAAGGTAGCTAAGGCCACACAGTCATGGAGAGACAAAACTTCTCCATGTCCTGGTGGGCAGATCACAGCCACACCCCACATCTCTCCCACCTACCTGCCTGACGTCTGGGTACCAGCTCCTGTCAGCCCCGGCAGGGCCTTCCTAAGTACACTTAGCGCTTGCTCACGGCTGCTCTCCTGGGCAGGGGTATCCACAGCAGCAGAGACCTTGCTGGCAGCGGCATTCACCACAGTGGGGCCCTTGCTGGTGGGCACATTTACCACAGTGGAGATCTTGCTGGTAGAGGTATTCACCAAAGGGGGGACCCTACCATTGGGGGAATTCACCACAGTGGGGGCCTTGCTGGTGGGGGCATTTACTACAGTGGTGGTCTTGCTGGTGGATGTATTCACCACAAAGGGGACCCTGCCATTGGGGGCATTCACCACAGTGGGAACCTTGCTGGTGGAGGTATTTTCCACAGTGGGGACCTTGCTAGTAGAGGTATTTACCACAGGGGGGACCCTGCTGGCAGGACTGTTGTTGGATGGGGCTGGGGCAGGATTCTGGAAAAATTTCTCTCGGGCTTGCTGAGTCCTAGAGGCCGCGGAGGTCCAGGCTGGGGTGGCCGCTGTGTTTGGAGATGCTGTGCTCGAGTTGAGCGGAGTCTTAACACCTTTGGAAGTTGCCTGGCCTTGGGGCACAGACGGGTGAGAGTTCAGAGTACTTGGGTGCACAAGGGGACGGGAGTCAATGGTCGCTGTGCTGCTGCTCTTGGCAGGTGATGACCAGCCTGTCGGGGAGCTATTAGTCACATGGGTGATGGCTTTGCTAGTCACAGAAGTGGTGGTCACTGGGCTCGTGGACAGCCTGGGCCCTGCAGGGCTCCCCACATGGACACGGGAGGTGGCTGGCCGGTTAAGTTCAGTCTGGACAAAACCTTTGGCAGTTGTGTTGCCTACAGTGGGCTCCCAGGCTGCTACCTTGGTCCTCGGCGGTGTCCCCTCTCCTGGTCCATTTGCCTCCTGAACTTTCCGTGAGGCATTGGTTGGCCTGGTGTCTGCAGCAACAGCCCCTGGCTGTCTGGAGGCTAGTTTTGACAACTTGGGGCTCCCAGAGGTGACTTCTTGGCTGTGATGGGTACAGACAAAGACGCCCGGCTCTCCTGTGGCACGGTAGGCCCCTGAGTGCAGTGTGTTGGAACACTGCTTACACCTGTGGGAGGAAGCCACTGAGATCAATTCCGAGCCCTTGCTCAATCCCTCATGCATCCCTTGCTCATACACTTCATCCTCTCAGAAGCACCCGTCGCCACACTCCCGTATCCACGCGTGCCGTCACCGGTTCATGCGACAGCTGCTCATGAGTGACATCCATCACTGTGAGCTGCAGTGTCCACTGGCACACTGGTCAGGGGTGAGGACACCACAGAAGGCACTCAAATGTGTCAGCAGATGCATACATAAAGACTACAGAGTGTGCCCCGCTTTCAGGAGTCCCCCCCAAGCTTGAAGAAGATGGACATGAGATTCACTCCTTGTCTCCCAAATCTGGAAGCTTCGGGGAGGCAAGAAGGAGGTTACTAAGGATCACAGTGTAAAAAAATAAATAAAAACCAACACAAAGGGTTGAGACAACAAGGGAGATCGAGTCAGTGTGTCTAAAGGACAACCCCGACATTAAAGGAGAATATAGGTACTGTCCCCAGTGGAAGACAGAAGCAAGGACCCAGACATGCAGTGTTTGGAAATCATACCTGAAGCAGCTTCTGTGGTAGAGCCGCCCATCAGCCAGGTGCCGCTGTACGAGGTGAACGTGTTTGCCACAGATCCCACAGATGCTGCTGACGGAACTGCCTGCAGTTCCCAGAGCCTGCAGGGAAGTGTCAGGGGCTGCTGAGGGGCAGCTGACATCTCCAGACTCCCACCTCAGCCCAGAGGTGACCAACAGATCCCACTTGATGGACTGGAGAGCTGAGACCCTGGGGAGCTGCTAGCCACAGCATGGGCATGGCTGCACACTCGGGACCTCCGCACTGGCCCTGTCGGGGAGCAGGAGACTGATTTCGGAGATCCTGGGGACCCAATGTGGGGCTAAAGACAAATCTAGTACCTTCTGCTACCCCACCAGGCTCTGAGATCAGGCCAACCCCCCTGGGCATCCAGGCCTGCCTTGCTCTGCATTCATGGAAGCTGCAGTAACCCCTAATGGACAGCAGGGGGCACTCAAATTTAGCACTGCAGGGCTGGCCAGGGCTGGCCAGGGCTGGCCAAGGTCCAACCCAGTGTCCCTTCCTCCAGCTCCATCCCACCTGGATGGCCTCCTGTGGCTCAGTTTACCCATCTGTATTATGGGAATTACAACTCTTGGCCACATTGAGCAGAGCCACCTCAGTGGGTACACTGGATACAAAGCATGGGAAGGGGTACTGTACCCTAAGAGAAAATCCCACACAGGTCTGTGTTTGGGATATACTTAGCCCTATAATGCCCACTCAATCAAGACATGCTTACAGCCTTTGGAGATGGCCTCTCTGAGCCACTCTCATTCCTCCGAACTACGGGGTTTGTCCTAGCTGGAGACAGTGGTGACCTCTGGGCTGGAGCTGGTGAGGGCACCTTGGCAGGCGAGGGCAGGACCTTCTTTCCAGGACATTCTTCAGTCGAATCGGATGAGGGTCTCTTCACACCAGCCATGCCCCCAACTGGCATGAGACACAGGAAACAGGTCAGGAGGGTCCCACCCAGCACTTGTACCCTCTGAGAGGTCCTTGTGCCCACAGTGAAAGGCCTGGGCCTCCTAGGACAGCTGGCGGGGTGCAGAGTTGGGAAAGGACAGCCCCAGGGCACATTCTTTCCAGCAAACCCTGACCTGGCCCTCACCCCATCTCCCAGCCGACAACCCCAAGTAGGGTCACGGAAAGGGACTTTTCTGTTTCCAAACCACCATTCCGGGCTGGCCCTCGGCCCAGGGGGATTCCGGAGATTTCTAAGAGGAATGTGGTGTGGGAAGCCAAAGAGCTCCCCACTCACGGATCTGGGCGAAGACCCGGCCTGTGCGCCCTGCCCTGCCTACCCCTGCCCGGGACATACAGCTTCCATGGTCACAGTCAAGCAGGGTCTGCTGAATGATTCCAGCAGCTGTCTAAGACCTTGGGGGTCAAGATGAGCAAAGAGGGTAGAAAGACGAGGACAGGAGTCATACAGGAGCATAGGGAAGGCACAAGCCTTGCTAAATGTCCCCCAGCAGGACTAGGTTGGGGAACAAGGGAGCCCAGGCGCCTCACTCTATACTTGCACAAAGGCCTCTGGTCTCCTTGGTAACAGATACAGCTACGAGGACCCACATGAGTAGTCTCAGAAAGGTACCCTTCCTGCATCTCTACCCACCCTTGGGCCCAGTGCTGTGGCATGAGAACTGAGGGTATGCATGGAGCCCAAAGAGGGAGACTGCAGCCTGGGCTGGTGGTCCTGACAGCATCGGCAGTCTTGGCCATGTCGCTGGAACGGGAGGGCCCTCCTGGACAGGGACTCACTTGGGGACCGGCCGTGGAAGTAGTTGTAATACTGTGACACGTAGGTGAGAATGCTCAGCCGGTCTGGAACCTTCAAGGCCACCATGTCCTCAGCGTCCAGAAGGGCTGGGATGCCCAGTTGTTCTTCAGCCACTTGGAAGGCCTGGAGAGAGGTTTAAATCAGCAAGGTAGAAAGAAGTATGGCTGAGCTACCAGCCCAGATGAGAGAGAAGCCTAGGCTACAAGTCCAAGGACCCCTGCCTGAGTGAACTCCCAGGCTCAGTGTGTCTATTTGTAAAAAGGTTCAAAGTACCAACATTCCAACAGAAGTTCCTCAGGAGATCAGACCCAGAAGGCTATGTTGTATGGGGGAGGGGGGAGCAGGTGCTATGAATTGAACCCAGGGCCTCCAACTTGCTAGACCACACCCCAGCCCCTCACTGGGGGATTCTAGGCAGGTGCTCTACCACTGAGCCACACCCCGAGTGCCAGCACTGGCCCTGGACTTGTAATCCTCCTGCCTCAGCCTCCTGAGTAGCTATGACAACAGGATTGTACCACCCAGCCTGGCTCTAGAAGGCTCTTGGTGTAAGTTACTCGCCCCACCCCTGGGGCTTATCACTCTAGAAACAGCCCTGAGGCTCTTCAGCCCTCCTGGGCCAAACATCATCCACTGAGAGCAGCTTGTCACCCTGTGATGGGGACAGGACGCACTGTGCTGGGAACACCAGGAACCTACACATACAGAGTACCTGCTGCATGCCAGCTGGGCTGATGATTGACAGCTCAGTGTCTCTCCCACCTTCACTGTCTGTTGCCCACCTCCAGCACCAAAGTCCCAGGGAGGCTCCAATTACTGACCGATGGCCATGCTTGGCCTTCCCCACTTGCTTCCCTTATCAAGTAATCCCCAATGTGGTGGATTCCCTGTATATCCCCTGTCTGCATCTGACTCTTGGCCTCACTGAGATACCCACTTGTGGTTGCTGATGACTTCTACCCACTCAAGCCCTTCTCCAATTGCCAACTGTGGATGCAAGCATAGCTCAGCTACCTGGGAGGCTGAGGCAGGATGATTATGAGTTCAACAGTATGCTGGGCTACTGAGTTCAAGGCTACCCAGGCCTACTTAGGAATACTATCTCAAAATAAAAAGTAAAAAGGGGACTGAGACTATGGCTCAGCCTTAGAGCTCCGGCCCAGAATCCCCCAGTGAGGGGCTGGGGTGTGGCTCAGCCTTAGAGCTCCGGCCCAGAATCCCCCAGTGAGGGGCTGGGGTGTGGCTCAGTGGTAGAGCACCAGCCTAGAATCCCCCAGTGAGGGGCTGGGGTGTGGCTCAGTGGTAGAGCTCCTGCCTAGAATCCCCCAGTGAGGGGCTGGGGTGTGGCTCAGTGGTAGAGCTCCGGCCCAGAATCCCCCAGTGAGGGGCTGGGGTGTGGCTTAGTGGTAGAGTACGTATGCCCTAGGTTTAAGTCTCAGTACTGCAAAACAAAATACATAAAAAAATCTAAAAAATGTAAAACTCCACCAGCTCCATTTAGCCCAGGGCAGAGGTCACTGGTGTCCTCATCCGGCCCCTGATGACTCACAGGGCTCTCTCGTAGATCCCTTCCCTGAGGCTTCTCTTCCAGATGCCTGTGTGGCTTCCATGTGGAGGCCAAGTCGGGGTCGTAGACCTGCTCGCACGTGTGCAATTCCTTAGGGTCCCATGCCACGTTCATACCAAGCCTCCAATCTCCTCTGACCCACAGAACAGGCTCAGAATCTGGCCACTTCCACTGAAGGCCATGTGTACCTCCCGTGTGACCTCAGCAGACACTCCTTTCTCCTGCAGTGTCTGGAGGACAGCCTCCAGGTTCACGCTTCCCAGGGGTCCACTTTCACTGGCTTGGAGAGAAGCCCAGAATCCTTTCTCCACCATTCCCTGCATCTGCCTCAGGACGCCACCCCACCCTGGATCCACAACTACGTGTCTTGCCCAGCACTCTGTAGCCCAGAACCTTTACTCCACCCAGGATGACTTCCTGGAACCATCCACAGACCTGCCAACAAGGTATCCATGGACGCCAGCCTCACCTCCCACCTCACGCCCAGTGCAATTAGCGCAGTATACTGCAATGCGGCCAACAATGAACAAACTCTCTTTGGTGTGTGTGCATGTGTGTGTCCCTGTGTGCATGCGTGCATGCCTATGGCAGCCAGAGCACACGGTCAGATGTCTCCCAAAATTGCTCTCTACCTTATGTTTTTTAATATGCTTGGGGGGGGTATGTGCACACATGTTCAAATGTGTGTGTGTGTGCGTGTCATGCAGTATGTGTGTACTATGTGCCCACACATGTAGAGGCCATGTGGGCACATGTAAGGTCCTCCTGGGTCACTCTCCACCGTATGTATTGGTTCAGAGTCCCTCATTTGAATCCAAAGTTAGCCAGCTGGGCTTGTCTGGCTAATCAGCTTGCTCTTGAGGTCCCCTGTCCCCACTTCCCATGCATCGGCATCAAAGACCAGTATTGGGGCCCATGCAGATCCTGCTTGGCTCAGAGCAAGAACAGATATGTATCAGTCCAAGGGATAGTGGGGCATATCTTGTAGCAGGGAGACTTAAGTTGGCACAGGGAAGGAAGGGTCTCACAATGGGTATACAGAGCAGGTCTGGAATCAAGGGGCCAGGAAGGTGGTCCTGCCCACCCTCAGGACCATCAGAGCCCCCCCTTCCACAGCTTCCTCGGGCCTTGCTCTGCCCTGGGTGGATCGGCAAGGCCATCCACAGGGAAGGAGATTGGCTGCTACTCCCTGGGGACTCACTGTTCCAGTGAGGAAGAGAGGGGTCCATGGGGTCCTAGGATCCAAGATCAAAAGTTGCTCTCAGAACACAGACTGACCAGTTTGGGACTGGCTGAGAAGTCGTGGGGAGGCCAAATTCCCAGAATGGGACCCCTGGATAGCCTAGTGGAAGGTTCGCTCCACTGAGGTGCAGTGGCCCTTCAGAAAAGAGCTGGGTTGGGAGGTGGTGGCACACGCCTTTAACCCCAGCACTTGAGAGGCAGAGGCAGGCAGATCTCAGTGAGTTCAAGGCCAGCCTGGTCTACAAAGCAAGTTCTGGGACAGCCAGAACAGTTACACAGAGAAACCCTGTCTTGAAAAACAATAAAACAGAACAAAACAAGAGCTGGGAGTTCAAGGCAGAGGGCTTAGAGGACAGGGCAGAGGGCATCAGCTCGCCAACTCACCAGCTTGTTGTTCTCGTAAATGTTTTCCTTCCGGAGGGCATTGAAGTTTCTGGAAGATAAGAACACTTATGTCAAACCAAGTGTGATGGCGCACACCTTTTATCTCTGCACTCAGAAGGCAGAGGCAGGTGGATCTCTGTGAGTTCAAGGCTTGCCTGGTCTACATGGCAAGTACCAGGACAGGCAGGTCTAGGTAGGGAGACCTTATCTCAACAAAACAAAGCATTTATGTCCAAAGTCACTCAACTCTAAGAAAGAAGCGGGGCCTTGGCGGCTATCTTGCCCAAATGAGGAAACTGAGGCTAAGGGCAGGGCTGTGAATTCAACAGGTCTTGAGCCAGGCTGGTACCGGGTCTGGCTTGTGACCTACTCTGACCACAATGATGTCACCACCTCCTATCATCTGGGTGGTGTGGGAAGTCCTTCTGTATATGTGTTGCTTTTGTTGATTAATGAATAAAGAATCTGTTTCGGCCTGTGGCTTAGCAGAGTAGAGCTAGGTGGGGGTGTGGGGGGAACTAAACTGAATGCTGGGAGAAAGAAGGCAGAGTCAAGGAAAAGCCATGGAGCCACCAGAGGAGAAAGATGTGATTCGCCAGTCAGAAACTTGCCCGTAGGCCACGAGTCTCGTGGTAAAATATAAAATAGAAATGGGTTAACCAAAGCTATAAGAGCTAGCTAGCAATATGCTTAAGTGATTGGCCAAGCAGTGATTTAAATAGTATAAATTTTGAGTGATTATTTTGGGTCTGGGCAGCTGGGAACGAACAGATTGGATCTCCCCTAACATCTGGGTACTGGTAACCCACAGTGGGCCCCTAGATCAGCCCTCTCGCCTCCAGCGCCTTAAGGAGCTTGAGCCATTGTTTGGCACTCCTGGCCCCATCAGAAACAGCAGGACCCAAATCCAGAGAGATATAGCCACCAGCCCAGGGTGGTCCAGCTGAGACAGCTCAGAGGAGGCCCCTTCCAATGGAGAAAGAACAAGACAGTGAACATGAGAGGCCCTAAGGCAGAGGACAAAGCCAACAGAGAGGGATGGAATGGCACAGGGTTAGCAAGTGACTGCCCATATATATAAATCTGGTCACCACTTACAATTTTACGGCACCTCCTGCAGGGGGCGCTGTTCTGACCCACTCATAAACACTTCCTCAATGCTCACAAGTCTTGTGGGCTGAAACACTGTGAAGGCAGAGAGGCTTGGGGGCACATGCAAGTCATTCCGTAGGAGGCAGGGCCAACCCCTCCATTCACGGGAAGGTGTGACTTGCTATTCACCAGAGTCTTGGGGCGTCAGAAATTAGTTCCTATATGACCATGGGGTCCTAGGAAGTACCCAAGCAGCCTGGATAGTAGAGCCTTCTTGGAGAAGCCAAGGGAACCACCAGGTATCCAGTGGGCCCCAGACTCCATGTGCATGCCACAACATGCCCTTGACACACCCCAACATGACACACCCCGGCTCACCTGCAAGTTGCCTTGCCCAGCCCCATGTTGCCAAGAGAGGTCAGTCAGAGCCTGTTGGCACCCTGGACAAACTGGTTAAAGACCGACAACTGCCCATCTATCCACTTGCTGTCTGTGGGTCCCAGGAGGCAGCTGCTGCCACTTGAGTGACCTAAATTGTTCCAAAAGCTTCCTGGCACAGAGGAAGGGTCTCTGACCAAACACTGTGTCCTGTTTCTTAGTGTCTGCCTCGGGCAGGCCACTTCCCTTGGGACCCCAGTTTCCCAGCCTGTGAGGACAGCAAAGTTTCTGAAAGAGACAGAATTCTCTTTCTTTTCCTTAGTCTTATTTTTCTATTTAAAATATTTATCACATTTTATTTATTTAGTCAGTGTGCTTGTGCGTGGACATGGGTGTGCCGTGTGTGTGTGTGGAGGACAGAGTCGGTTCCCTTCTTCCACTATGTGGATCCTAACTGAACTCAAGTCATCAGACTTCGCAGGAAACTCCTTTACCCATTAACTCATTTTGCCAGCCCAAGCCTAAAACTTTTTTTCTTTTTCTTTTTTTCTTTTCCAGGTGCTGGGAATTGAACTTAGGGCCTCATACATGCTAGGAAAGCATGTTACTATACTGTGCTACAGTCTCAGTCTTCTATGTATGTGTGTGTGCATGTTTAGTTGTGTGCAGGTGTATGTGGAGGCCAGAGGTCGATGTCACGTGTCTTCCGTAATCACTCTCCACCTTACTTTTTGAGGGTCTCTCAGGGAACCTGGAGCTCACTGATTCAGTTAAGAGGGCTGGGGACTCCGGAGATCCTCCAGTCTCCAACCACCACTGCCCCAGCCCTGAGATTACAGATGCGTGCCACAACACCTGCCTTTTCCCATGGGTTCCAGGCCTTGAACTCAGGGCCTCACGCACGCACAGCAAATGCTTTACCAACTGAACTATCTCCTCAGTCCCTCCCCCCCAACTTCTCTCCTTTCTCCCTCCTCCCTCTTCCCTCCCTCCCTTCCTTCCCTCCCTGACATGCTAAAACACCTCTTACCACTGGGCTCCATCCCAGTCCCAAATTTGAGTCTTGTTCAGTACACCATTTGATCAGATGTGACAGCCATGTTCCCAGTACACAGCCTGTCTCAACTGAAGGTTCTGGGTGCCTATAGCCACCTCAACTGGGATAGCCTAGCTCTGAAGCCAGTCTGCCTGCAGAAGTCAAGCCTTGCCCAGTCTACATCAGGAGAAGCCTGGGCTGCAAGCTCATTTTATAGACCAAGTGAAATGAGACCAGTCAGTCTTGCCACACGGTGTGTGTGTGGGGGTGGGGGGGCTGCAGTGTGTCCCTTCCCTCCTTAAAAAACTTCCCCCTTCAGTTTTCAGTCCAGCCAGCCAGCTACCAGCTACCCAGCCCGTTCAGGAAATTCTCGGCACTTCCGGCCAGGACCAGCTCCGATAACGCATCCCAGATGCCAAGACCACCCGCACAGTGAGAGGTGAGCCAACAGATGACAAGAGCGGGGAAGGGCGGGTTCCAGGCCCCCAAAGTCTGGGTGGCCTCCATGTACCTATGTGAGCACCATCCACCTGAGACTATCCCCAGATGCCAGGTGTTTCTAGACTGCCCAAGGCTGGGCATGTGGAGTGTCCAGCACCCGACAAGCCAGAGTCCTCCAGCCACACTGGTCCCTCCCCTCCCCCACCCCTTTGAAAGCACAAGTTCTCCTCCAGCGCCCAGGGTCACTGACCTAAATGGCTACTGCTCTGAGGCGGGACAACAAGCTGTGTTTTGTTTCCAAACAGAGCCGGAAGAGGCGAGCTACCAGCCTCCTACTTTCGCCTCTGAACACCCAGGGGGCCCAGCGCCTCCCTGCAGCTCTATTTTGTCATCTAGCCCACAGTTCCAGGTACTCCAAAGCCTTCCATGCCCCAACAGTGCAGCCACACTCTGAGAAGGGGCATGGGACAGAGACTGAGACTAAACATTCATTTCCAGATGACACTCAGGACCAAGTATAAACTGCTTCCCTGGGCCCAAAGGTTTCCATGACTGAATGGAAGCACCCTGACCAAGTCCCTCAATCACCACATCCTGCTGACACCAGGCCCAGCCTCCGCACCTCAACTCAAGCTGTTCCCTTCCTCTGCCCGACACACTGACCGGGGTCGCCTGAGGACACTGAGGTCCCAGGTGGACATGTATATGCCTTTGCTTTTCCCTTCCCTGAGCTCATGTCCCCGGCCAGCATGGGGTACAGCAGGTAGCAGTTCTGTTCCTCAGTTGCTGTCACCTGAGCTAGCCAACAAGACGGTCCATCAGAACTACCTTAGAATTCTTTGTCATTATTATGATTGTGTGTACACATGACGCGGAGGGTGATATGTCTGCTTCATATGTCTAGACATCAGAAGGCAGCTTTATGGAATTGGTTCTCTCCTTCATTTGTCTGTGGTTGCTGGGGATCAAAGTCAGGCCACCAGGTCTGTGTAGAAAGCATCTTTACCCACTAAGCCATCTCTCCGGCCCTGGAGTTTCATTTATGTTTGCTTTAAAGATTTATTTATCTATTGGTTTTGGTTTTTGTTTTGCTTTCCCTGACACGGTTTCTCTGGATAGCAGCCCTGGCTATCCTGGAACTCACTGTGTAGACCAGGTTGGCCTCCAACTCACAGAGATCCTGGGTGCTGGGATTAAAGGCATGAGCCATCGCTGCCCGGCCATATCTTTATTTTACGTGGATGGGTGTTTTGCCTGCACATATGTCTGTGGACCATGTGTGTGCTGCGTCCACAGAAACCAGAAGAAGGCCTTGGATCCTCTGGAACTGGAGTAATAAACAGTTGTTAGCTGCCACGTGGATACTGGGAACCGAACTTCTGGCTGAGCAGCCAATTTTTTTTTTTTTTTAACTGATGAACCATCTCTCCACCTCCTACTTACTCATTCTTGAGAGGCCCTCACATAGCCCAGGATGACCTCAGATTCATTCTGTGGCCAAGGATAACCCTGAACTCCCAATCCTGCTGCCTCTTCCTGCAAATGCTAGCACTACAGGTGTGAGCCCTGGAGTCCTGACCACCAAGTAAGGGCTGACCATCCCAGAAAGCATCCGGGACCCAGCATGGATCCAGCATCACATTCCAAACTGAGTGCTTACAGTCAGAGCTAGTGTCTGAGGCCATGTCTCAGATAGCCTAGGCTGAGCTCCCTAGTTGGCTGCGATAGTTAGTTATGACGTCAACTTGACACAGGCAAGGGTCATTTGGGAAGAGGGAACTCAACTGAGACAATCCTCCATCAGATTACCTGGAGGCAAGTCGGTGGAACATTTTCTTGATTAATGACTGACATGGTAGGGTATATCCCATTGTGGGCTGTGCACCCCCACACACACCTTGAGCAGGTGATCCCGGGTGCTATAAAAAAAGTAGGCCGAGTAAGCCATGGGAGCAAGCCAGTTGGCTGCATTCCTCCGTGGTTTCTGCTCCAGTTCCTGCCTCCAGGTTCCTGCATTGACCTCCCTCAACCACACAGTGTGAACTGAAAGTGTAAGAAACCAAATAAACCATTGGTGGTTTGAATAGGAATGGAACCCATAT